GCTAATGCTCTCTCTACAATCTCACCATGCTAATGCTCTCTCTACAAACTCACCATGCTAACTGCTCTCTCTACAATCTCACTGTGCTAACTGCTCTCTCTACAATCTCACGGTGCTAACTCTGCTCTCTCTACAATCTCATCGTGCTAACTGCTCTCTCTACAATCTCACCGTGCTAACTCTGCTCTCGCTCACTTTGTTACGGAGTCTATTCAGTTCTCTCAAAGCTCCTGGCAGCCTGAGGACCTGTAGACCTAGAGGATCTTTTGTCTCCGCAGGCCAGGCCGCTCCTGCCTCTCCTGAGAGTTCACTGCAAAATCTTTAGCTGAGAGCAGTTATTCTCAACCTGCCCCTCCTCTATTGAAGGGTAAATTTTCCATTATATGCCCAAACATTTATTTATTTTTCTTCCACACCATTTATCAACTAAATTATAGACATTGGCCAGTTAATTAGCTATAATTTTTTCTTTCCAGAGTAGATGAAGACAGGATCAAGTCTGCCTTTCCTCTCCACTGTATTCCAGTATCAGACATTCTGTAAATACTTGCTTTGTGAATAAACCCAGCCTAATTATATGTAATAGCCTTTCCCAGCATGCCAATTATTTACTCATTTATTCAGTTATTTTGATTTTTTTTTGAGACAGATCTCACACTGCCTCAGCCTCCTATACGCTGACGTTAGGATCATGAGTCAAGTGGTGGCGCACACCTTTAATCCCAGCACTTAGGAGCAGAGGCAGGGGGATCGCTGTGAGTTCAGGGTCAGCCTAGTCTATAGAGCGAGTTCCAGGACAGCCAGGACTGCACAAACAAACCCCGTCTCAAGCCCCCCTCCCCCAAAAGAAGCATAAGCCACCACACTAGCAAATCCTTTAATGCACACATACAAAATATGATTCAATAGATGATGTAAAGGTAAGAATGTAAGTATTTCTATAATAATGTATAATATACGGGGACATATCTCATGGGCTCAAACATAAACCTAAGGCAATGCTTAGTAAAATTATTTTTTATGTTATGTGTATAGGTGTTTTGCTTACATGTATGTCTGTGTACCTTGTATGCGCTTGGTACCTATGGAGAGCGGCAGAGGGCCCAGGAATGTCTGGTCCCCTGGGACCATAGGGATGCTCAGGTGCTCAGGAAGAACAGCAGAACAGCCGGTGCGCTTAACACCAGAGTCCTGGCGCAACACTTCAAGTCTGTCTTCTTTTGAGATAGGGTCTCATGTTCCAGCCTAGGCGGATCTGGAACTCACAGCAATCCTCCTGTCTCAGTCTCCCAAGTGCTGGGGTTACAGGTGTAAACTGACACAGTTGAAGATTCTGCATATAGAAACGGAACAACTGAAACCTATTCGAAAGAAAAAGCTCTCTTTGAAATTCCCAAAGTCAGACGTCACAAGATAGAGTACACGCTTCCGTTTGAAAAGGATTCTGTGGCAAGGAGCCCACGGTCCCTTTGTATACACGCGGGAATTTTTGTCTTATTACTAATCCAGCACCTATTTTCTTTCCCCTCCTCACTTCTGCCTCCTCCTGCCTCAGTTCCTCCCTCTGTTCTGTGTCTCTTTCCCCCTCCACAGGTCGGAGATTGCAGGGGTGCTGCCAGGCAGGGTTCTCAGCACTGTTTTCTCTCTACAAACGACAACATTCCAAACTCAGACTCCTGTTTATTAAGAACCCTAAGCTTATACTTTTCACAAATGCTCGTTTATCTATTCGTATTTTCACACAACTCCCCCTCTTTTTGAGTCTGGGTCTTTCTTTGTAGCCCTGGTTATCCTAGATAGAACCCACTTTGTAGACCAGACTGGCCTTGAACTCACAGAGAACAGACCTGTCTCTGCCTCCCCAGTGCCAGGATTAAAGGCCTGCGCCACCACGCCCAGCTCTTCAGAACTTTTATCTGATTATCTATATTACCTACTAAAATTTGTTCCAAGGCTTTGTTCCAAATACACCCACAAATAAGAGCTCTTTTACAGGACTGTATCAAACGGCCCAGGTACAATAACTGTAAAACACACAAGAAAGTAAATAGAACTAGGATATCCAATACGATTCTGTTTCCTGTCCAACATCCTAGGGCAGGTTTTAAGCAAGTACAAAGCCAACTGAAAGAAACTGCCCACGAATGGAGGTAGTGTGAGACTTTATCGTGTCTCAGAGATACGGCATGCAGCTGATCGCTTTATTGAGGTTAAGCGATCGTACCACTAGGTAGAAGGCTCCTTGGGTCAGGCCCTAGAAGTCCTGGAGGTACCTCTCCGCCTCCCGGTTCACAGCATGGAGCACTCCTGGTCCAGGGGTCACAGCCCTTCAGTCTCACACTACCGGGACCTTCTCGGCTGGGTTATTTTTTTTTTTTTTTTAGGCTGTCAAGTCGAGAAAACCCTCTGAAATTCCCGATCATGAGGTTACAGGCAAGTCCAAACTCCTAACTGACACTGGGTAGTGTCAAGATGGCAAACTCAGACCGAGCTGGCGATCGTGCCCGCCGCTCCCGTGCTCGTGCCGGGGTGGCGCTGCGTTCCCGGAGACCGCCGCCTTCCCCAGCGCGCGGGCCCGGGGCG